CTAAATGACACTGGGAAAAGACTCATGTTTGGAGACCTGTCCTGTGGTGTGATGAAACTAAGATTGAACTGTTTGGCCATAATGACCAGTGTTACATTTGGAGGACAAAGGGGAAATCTTACAAGCCTAGAAACACCATCCCAACTGTGAAGTATGGGGGCGGCAGCATCATGTTGTGGGGCTGTTTTGCTGCAGGAAGGACTGGTCCACTTTACAGCATAGATGGCATCATGAAGAAAGAACATTATGGAGAAATACTGAAGCAACATCTCAAGACATCAGCCAGGAAATTAAAGCTTGGCCACAAATGGGTCTTCCAAACAGACCATGACCCTTAGCATACTGCCCAATTAGTTTAAATGTACTTTAAGGACAACAGAGTGAATGTTTTGGAGTGGCCATCACAAAGCCCTGATCTCAATCCTATAGAAAATGTGTGGGCAGAGTTGAAAAAGCTAGAGCGAGCAAGACAGCCTACAAATCTGACTCCGTTACACCAATTCTGTCAGGAGGAATGGACCAAAAGTCAAACTATTGTGAGAAGCTTGTAGAAGGATACCCAAAACATTTGACCAATGTTATACAGTTTACCAGCAAAGCTTAAAAAAAAACAAGGAAATGTGTCAACTTTTGACTGTCTAGAAATGTATAAAAAAATTCTCAAAAAACGAATTATTCTGGTATTTAGTAAATGTAAATCATTTAGGTAATCCTAACGGACCTAAAATAATAAACGTTTAGTATGATTTACCATCAGACATTTTTTAAAATTGATTGTGTCTGTAAACTTCTGGTTTCAGTTATATGTACTGTCAACATGGCAAAGATAAAATAAATCAGTTATTAGAAATGAGTTATTAAAACTATTATGATTAGAAATGTGTTGAGAAAATCTTTCTGTTAAGCAGAAATTGGGGGAATAGCATACAGACCGCCAATAATTATGACTTCAACTGTATGTATATATGACTATATATATGCTTACTCATGAATGTAATGAATCACTCGTTCAGATGATGTCTGTTAGATCTCTCACTCACCCCTGCTGGATTACCGCAGTTGTTGTGTTTGGTGTTGTAGCAGGCTTTTAAAAATGTTATCGTTTCATTACTGACTTATTTTAAGACTAAACAGCTGTTCTGCTGGTCCAGCTGGAGAAAGATCTTCATCATCATCGTCATCACCGTCAGCTGTCTGAGCTCAATATCTTACACTGCTCAATGGAAATACAAGACTACATTTCTGCAAATCTACAATATGCTACTTAGAGTATTTTTGTTGTTTGTTTAAAGGGCACATGGTTTACCTCTTTGTTATGATATAATATTAATATTATGGTTGTTCTGAGTGAGCCAGTTTAGGTTCAGTTCAACACACAGTTCAGATGTTTTTATTATAATGTGTTAAAAAGTGTCATGTTGGGGGCGTTTGTACACAGTTTGCTGTTTTAGGGGCGTGTTGCTTCACAGTTTCGGCTTCCCGCCCAACGTAACAAGGGGGCGGAGCCAAGAGCTCCTACGCTCTGTGTTTGCAACAGACAGGCTGACAGACAGAGAGAGAAGCTAAGCTAAGCTAGGATCAGCATTCAGCCGTACATGTACAACTTGGAACACAGACCAAACAGAGAGTACAAAATCATTTGTGTCTTTGTATAGTTTGTATAGTCTCGGTGTACAAGTGCCGAGCTTGTACACCGAGACTGATAACCACACACACTGAATTAACTTTGACTGAGGCACCGAATGCGCCGCGACACGACACACCAGACACTCTCAGTGACGCGGCAGAAACAAACACAACTTCTGTCGCGTGCACCCCGACAGAAACCCATGCCCAGAACTCCAAAATGCACGGCGCCACGCAAAAGGTACAAGCAATAATTCCAATTACAGCGATAATGTGGAGAATATTGATCTTGTGTTGAGCCCAATGAGCTTTTCATCTGAAAATAGAGCAAGGGTGTTCCTTTAGTGATATCGCTTTGACACACGCTGAAAATGGCGGATGTGAAACAAGAAACTGAGGATAGGATCCAGGGCTTGACATTAACTTTTCTGACCACCAGCCAATGTGGCTAGTAGTTCTCCAACATTACTAGCCACTCGCCATTTTCACTAGCCACAATTTTATTGTTGGGATAATATATTTTATACACATAAATATGACTTTGACATGCTAAAATTATTTGATTTAGAGTTTGCGTTATCTCTACATGCCTCCTCACTCAGTGGCGTAGTGCAAAATGCGGAGGCCCCCCTGCAGGGATCACCCAGGGGGCCCCCAGTTGAAGGAGGGGGTGGGGGGGGGGGGGGGGGGTGGGGGGGTTGAGGGGATCACTGATCGCACGGGCATTCCTGACAAAAATATTGTTTGTGTGTACAGAAATTTACTATTCACCTTTGTTGGCGCAGCCATTTTCGTGTATGGTAACCGGTATATAATCTTAATTACACGGAGGTAAAATAACTCACGTCTCTCCTCAGTTTTCTGCTGAACCGGAATACATTTATTTGCATATGTCCAAATATGGGAAGCAGGTAACACATGACATGACAGTCTGAGGGCACATCCAATAGTAACGCTAACACCCCCACTTGCACTCATACTGTACAGTATACAAACTGTATATGGTAACACAAATGTTCGATTTACATACCAAACAAAAAACCTTTGAATTTTTCCAGCTTAAACTTTGTCACTGGTTTAGTCATGACATCGGCTACCATGTCTTCTGTGGGACAGTACTCAACAGTCACTTTTCCATCGCTCAGTGCCGATCGAATGAAATGATACCGTACATCCACATGTTTGCATCTTTGACGGCACACTGGATTCTTTGATAGTGCAATGGCACCTTGATTGTCCTCAAAAATCTGTACAGGCATATACATGCAGTCATTTTCCATACTGTCCAATAACTGTACAAGGTACATGCTTTCTTGTGTGGTTACAGTCAGTGCCATATACTCTGCCTCGCATGTCGATAGAGCTACTGTGGACTGTTTCTTTGACTTCCATGAGATCAAAGGACCATTTGCAGAAAGGCTGAAACAGTACCCTGTTGTGCTTCTTCTGTCATTTAGATCTGAGGCAAAATCAGCATCACAATATGCCACAAGTTTAAGTTTTTCATCACTTTTCTTGTAACATAGCTCCTGATCAATTGTACCCCTCAAGTACCTCATAACATGTTTAACCGTAGACCAGAGCTGTTCGTTTGGTTTGGACAAATACTGTGATAGTTTACTAAGAACCCAACTTAGATCAGGTCTAGTACATGTCATTAGGTAGATCAAACTACCTACTGCCTCACGATACCTTTTAGGATCAATAGGATCACTATCACTGTCGTAATCCAATTTCAGCTCACATGGTGTTGATCTGGGTTTACAGTCTAACATATTGAATCTCTCCAGTATTCGCAATATGTATCTTTTCTGGTTTACCCTTACAGTTCCCTTACTTTGATCGAAATCAATTCCCAGAAAATGTTTGAGCTTTCCCAGATCTTTCATTTTGAATTTTGATGTCAGCATTTCTTTCACATCCTTCAGTAAACTGTTGTCACTAGCAGCTATGATGAGATCATCTACCCAGATTATTATGATCACCCTGTCTTTACCACTTCGCTTACTGTACACGCAGTAATCAGCCAGATTCTGTATGAAATCATTTTCAGTGAGATACACATGTAACATTTTGTTCCAATTTCGTCCTGATTGTTTTAAACCATACAGTGATTTGTTCAATTTACAGACTAGTTTATCACCTCTGTTTGATTTGACTTCAAATCCTTTCGGCTGCTCCATGTAAATCTCACAATCTATTGGAGCGTGTAAGTAAGCCGTTTTCACATCCATTTGGTGAAGTTCAAGATCATATTGTGCTGCCATTTGCATTAAGGCTCGAATTGATGTGATATTTGCTGTTGGTGAGAAAGTCTCTATGTAATCTACACCCATCACTTGACTATAGCCCTTAGCAACATATCTGGCCTTGTATGTCTCTGTCTCATCTATATTACTCTTAATAGAGTAGACCCATCTACCCCCCACTGCATGTTTACCTTCTGGTAGTGTAGTTAGGGTAAATGTATTGTTTTCTTGTAGTGAGCTAATTTCATCTTCCATGGCCTTAACCCACATCTTAGACTCATTGGAATTCATAGCTTCCTCAAAAGTCTGTGGTAAATCGCACATTCTGTAACAGTAATCAACATTAGTAAGAATCTGATCATCACTCTCCACATCAGATACATAATCTGTCAAATACTGTGGGGCTCTCCTATTTCTCTTAGGATAACGTGCGCATTGTTCACCACTCTCAGTTTGAGCACTACTCTGACTCTCTGTCTCAGTTGTCTTTTCTGGCGTCTCATTAGTAATGTTATGTGTTGACTGGGGAGATACATATCTCTCTCTATGAGAATCATCATCTGACATTGTGATTTCTGTCTGTGTCTGATGATCAGCCACACATCTTGTTATGAATTTCACAAGTCTGTGCTTCAGAACTTTTCCTGTGTCTGGATAATAAATCAAATATGCAGGGCTGTTTTTATCATATCCTACAAAAATCCCTTTTTCACATCTAGCATCCAGCTTCTTTTTGTCGTGTTTGTATGCGTAGCATACTGAACCAAATATTCTCATTTTAGAGAGATCAGGCTCCTTCCCAGTCAATGCATAGTATGGGGTTTGGTGTATACGGCTATTGTAGCACCTGTTGCGAATTACTGCAGCAGTCATTACCGCGTAGGTCCACAACATCTTGGGCAGGCCGCTCTCTAAGATCATGCATCTTGCCATCTCAAAAAGTGTTCGCCAATTTCTCTCGGCAGTCCCATTTTGATGGGGCGAATATGGCGCTGAAGTCTCATGGCGTATACCATTCTTACTTAAAAGAGACTGAAACTCTTTTGCTGTGAACTCTGTTCCATTATCTGACCTAACACACTTTGTAGATGCCCTTTGGTTTCCATGAACGAGACAGAGAGTTTCTGACGGGTGCTTGATTCTTTATTTTGCTCAAGACGAGAGCCATTAAACTTTCGTTGCGTAGCACCGTGAAACTACACAAAGAAACAACAAAAATCAATAAAAACAACTTGTATACAGAATAATACGACAAATAAAGATATAATGTACAGAGCGACATATGAAAGTGAAACAATGAAGTATATAACGACAGTTTGAAACAACTAATAAGAAGGCAGAGCTCACGATTAACATATACATACAAATGAACTCATGTGGCTTAAATATTAACTTCACATACCTCGCTCCGCTTTCCCAAAGGGTTCTATTAAATAAATTGTGCAGGATTAAGCCTCCTTTTTCCGTAAATCGCACAGCAACGTGTGTTCTCTTCGCTCCTGCTAGCCTGATTAACCTATTAGTCACCTAGGCTACCGAAACACGTGACATGCTCTGATGCTCTAAAATTATTTAAAGGGATATAGTGCTTTAGTGGTCACTTACACTCCCACCAATCATTTTATGATAAATTGAAAAAACAAACTGAAATTAATCAGAACATGATTTTGAACTATAACATGACCACGTTTACTTTTCATGACTATCAAGTATTTCAGAAATAATTATTTGGTCTGATGAGAGTGTATCATCCCAGTTACTAACAGTCAGTCTTCTTCAAGAAGTACAACTAATTTCTGAATCGGTCTTTCAATGATTGAGAGCTTGGGGGCCTGATTACGTTTGTTAGTGAGCTTTCGTTCTGCTACTCGTACCTTTACTCGTCTCACAAATCCATCACTCTCTTTGACAGTTTCAACCACTCTGCCCAACTGCCATTGACTTCTTGGGAGCATATCCTCTTTGATTATTACAACATCATTTACTCTGAGGTTTCTGCGAGGAGTGTGCCACTTTTGGCGTGTTGAAATGTTAAGCAAGTATTCCTTCTTCCAGCGACTCCAAAATTGCTCAACCAAGTATTGGACTCTTCGCCATCTTTTCGTAGCGTACATGTCTTCTTTAACAAATTTTCCTGGAGGTGGAAGTGCAACATCAGACTTCATAAGTATTAGGTGGTTTGGAGTTAGAGGCTCTAGTGAATTTGGATCATTAATGCCATCTACTGTAAGCGGGCGACTGTTAACTATGGCCATTGCCTCATAGAACAATGTTCTAAGTGAAGCATCGTCAAGTCTACCAGGACACAGTGCAATTGTGGCATTAAGTACACTGCGCACAGTTCGTATTTGTCGTTCCCAGACACCTCCAGTGTGACTTGCAGAAGGAGCATTAAAGGCAAACTCACATTGTTTCTCTGCGAGAAAGACTTCCAGAGTTTTGATGTCGACTTGTTTCAGGCAATCTTTGAATTCGTTCCTGGCCCCGACAAAGTTTGTACCTTGATCACAATAAAGTTTGCAAACTGCTCCTCTGAGGCTTATAAAGCATCTCAATGCATTGATGAAGGCATCTGTGGACAAATCTTCAATCATTTCAATATGAACTGCGCGAGATGACAAACAAGTGAATATTAGACCGTATCGCTTGTATTCTTTGCGAGCTCTCTTCACGACAAATGGCCCAAAACAGTCCATGCCACAAAATGTAAAGGGAGCAGATACTTCGACACGCTCCTTGGGAAGTTCGGCCATTCGTTGTTCTTCTGTCTGTCGTCTAAGTCTTCGACACTGCACACACTTGTGTATCAGCTTAGCAACTGATTTGCTACCTCCAATGACCCAGAATCCATTCATTCTAAGCTGCATTTGAGTTTGAGTTCGACCCTGATGGCAAATTTTGGCATGATAATGCGACAGAATTAGCTTGGTGATGTAACTATCCCTTGGTAGAATCACAGGATGTTTGAGGTCTTGACTGAGTGATGACTTCTTCAATCTTCCCCTAATCCATTCATTCTAAGCTGCATTTGAGTTTGAGTTCGACCCTGATGGCAAATTTTGGCATGATAATGCGACAGAATTAGCTTGGTGATGTAACTATCCCTTGGTAGAATCACAGGATGTTTGAGGTCTTGACTGAGTGATGACTTCTTCAATCTTCCCCCTACCCGAAGAAGACCTTTGTCCAAAACAGGATCCAGTTGATACAACGCACTAGAATTTGGAAGAGCATTCCCATTTTCAATCATTCTCATTTCTTTGGAAAATGCTTCCTGCTGCATGAGCTTGATCACCACTTCAGCAGCTCTCTGACGCTCCTCAACAGTTATATGGTCAGTGGAGCATTTCTTTTTCAATCCAAGTCTTTTTATCCTTGCCACAACCTTCAGAAGCATTGACCAGCAAGAAAATCGTCTGAAACGACTTAAAATGCCGGAACTGTCACTAACTGTGGTCACAAATGTTTGGACTGGTTTAACTTCGGGGTCACCAACAAGCAAATTGGCAGAGGTATGTGGTGTTGGATTCACTTCTTGTTCCCACAGAAATTTGGGACCTCTTAACCAGGTTGAAGTAGCAATGTCAGAGGCATGAAACCCTCGAGAAGCATGATCAGCCGGGTTCTCTAAGGTATTAATATAGTACCACAGGCTTGGATCTGTAATGTCCCTTATGAGTTGCACACGGTTAGCAACGAATACATGAAACCGTCTTGCTTCGTTATTAATATAAGCCAAAACAACCTGTGAATCTGTCCAAAAGAATTC